TGTACAAACTTAGCAAGCCTTGTAAACTGAGATTTACAGTAATGGCCAACAGTTAACAGCAACGAACCAAACAAAGAAACTCCACCAAGGGTTGTGACTCACAGAAGAATCAGCCATAAAGTATTTCTGTCGTCAGGCTCAAGTACCGCAATTTATAAACATGGCGCTTAAATACAATACACAATATCTTGGTCACGAGTTTGTATAAACTGATTGATCTCTTTGCACTCACTTCTTGTTAATTTTGTGTGATTCTAGGTACTCAAACGCGTTCTTAGAACATTATCAATAAGTCTGTATTGTTAGGATCGATTGATATCTCCGTGGTGACCTCATAAATAGAAGGTGCTATTCTTGAATATTAATAGCACGTATCGATGGTCTAAACATCATGTGGCAAGAATCAACGTGTCTGTGGAGAAAGTAAAGCGTCACGGTCCTACCAACATCATTTATCAATCCTGTCACTGGGACTCGGATGGTTTACCGACCCCTTCAATATCAACGATAATTATTGCGGTTAGTTGATCTGAGTCCGATTTTACTGTGTGATGGTGTTAACGAGATGTGTATGGCGACTACCCTCGTATACAATTAACGAAGTATTTCGCATTAGAGAGTAGAGTAATAAAATAAGTCAACTAGGAGAATGAACTTAAAATACGTATGATTCATACTCTCGACACCAAACGGAAACAGTAAAAGAAACAAAGCGGAGAAGACAAACATGCCAACTCGCAGTACAATTTATGATAAGTGTTAACGTAGCTCAAAATAGACAAATTGTAGTGCGTCAAAGAGACAGGCATTGGATAAAATAATAATCGACAGACAATCACGCACAAAACCCGTAAAAGTAGTGTAGATCGCCAACGTAGATGATCTGTGTCGAAATGATTGAAGACCTACTCGAATTATACGGGCATGGTGTGACAAACCAGCTAACGTCGAAGTCACACCTCGTGGTCAGCATCTTACGTGGACTACCCCATTGACGTATCAAGGTATCATAGATGCTTTGAAGACTGTACAACACAGAGGACGTTATTACAGAGATATACTAGTTAAAGTTGATACAAGCGAAAGTAAGACCACTGCCGCATCGGCCAATCCATGGCATACGATTAACTGATGCGTGTTGGTCGCCCCTGACCTTGACGAGGATCGATGATTTATTCGATATTCAATGACCCAGCTGCCGGATGATTTGGCTAGGGCTTAGTGACATTTCGCTGGCCCTACATTACTCACCCACCAGATTCAACGACCGTTCGACTCCGTACCAAACACGTTAGGAGTAGTTTCGAGCCATAGATTACCAAACGATTAGTATGAATCCTCCGGGTAGAAACAGTTTGATAAAAATAAGACGTGTATGTTTGCTGAATGTTGCGGTTTTGTAGTGGCGGCGGGCCCTAGTCGTACAATCCTCAAAGCTGAACACCAGACAACTCGGAAGATGTATATCTAACATTTAACGAGGAGAAAAACACAACGGTGGAGAAGGCGAGAACAATGAATTGAATTGGTCCGAATCCATCGGACGGCATGGCTCGGCCTTGCAGACGTGATTATTATTGAGTGGTAACATACGCCTTTTATTCATATCAAATATATTGTTCTATCACTAGCCTAAGTATGTTCTTCATCATGTATATTCAATGATTTTTGTAACAACAAAATCAAAACCTTTTCGCTAAATTGTCACAATTTTTATCTAACCACGTTTATATTTATTACACTCATGTAATTCATGTGTTTTTTTGTGGTGCTTGAACGAACTAAAGATTCTTTTGTAATTGTTGAGTGCTCGATTTCGAAATAAATCTAAGGTTAAAATTATAGATATCAATAATTTTAGTGCACAGCCGACATGTTGATCATATTTAGTTCCAGGACCCAGGTGAGTTCATTCCAATGTCAGTTCTTAAATCTAATACTACTGAGTATATTCTACGTCATACAGAGTCTGCAGTGGCATTGGACCATAACCACACAATCGTCAAAGCTGAATACGAGATTACTCGGAAAATAGATATTCAACATTTAACGAGAAGAAACACCTAACGATGGAGAAGGCGCGAATAATGAATTGAATGAATTGGAGTTGATTGAATGGCATGGCTCGACCATGCAGGCGTGGTACACCTGAATGTTACCTTATATCTTCTATTCATATTAAATAAATTGTCCCTTCTCTAGCCTAACAATGTTCTGCATCATGTATTGGTAATTGATACGATACAGTGAGTTGGTGTAGTCGATGGTGTGACTTCTACGTAAGATCTTATAGATTAGGCAGTTGTATCATGACAAACCTAAAATTTAAGGATTAGGTCTATTATTAGAGCAGTACTAATATCATAGTACAAGTCTACATTCCGTACACAGTCGGACAGACTCATGATGAACCTAAGAAGAAGAGGTATAATCGACTTCCGAAATTTGAATTCTCATTTGGGCTGTGACGATTGTGATGTATGTATGAACTAGTGATTCCTTTGTACTTGATGAATGTCTGATTTCGAATTCCAAATACAATACGTTCATTTGTACTCATCTAGTCCTATTTGGACTTAATTGCGTTATTTCTGGGATTCGTAGTTCGTACAGTAATTCAAATAATTTTGATCATCACAATAAGTTACATAACAATAAAACAGTTTCGGATGAAATGATGATAGTTTTAATAATTAGAATTGTTTATGTTTGTGTATTAGAGACTTGCATAATGTTAGAAAATAATTTCACACAGACTTGCTTCAACATGCATCTACCAAACAACTACCAGACATCCTTGTTTATTAGCATCATTTGGGGTTATATATTACATTTTGAGAATATTTAGAGCTCACGTTTGTACAAAAGTTTGTTTATAGTCTATCTATGACTTGATAAATAGTGCATTTCACTTGCCTGAGTTCAGATTGATACAAATAACTACATTTAATTTGACTTAACATTCTCCCAGGTAGTGAATCACAACTACGCGAAACTACTAATAAACTGGGCTAAGGCTGTATAACAAGCACAAATATTGCGGAAGTTGAAGTGCCTGTAAAAAACTCGTTTATATAAAACTTGTGGGCAAGAACCTATAGCCTGACTTATTCTTCATGCCTTTTGGCTTAAGCCCAAAACCTTAACCCCGTCGGTGTCATCAATTTCGTGCCAGCGATCCCCCATCGTCCTTTCAGTGGGATAAACCGAACTAGCAGTTAATAGGTCTTTATTTTGACCATAGAACAGTGCTAACGGAGCACGAAGCTATCTGTCACAAACTCATTAAGTTTTTCGACATTGGATATGATGGCAAATACAATACCTATACAATATAAGAAGGCGAACGAATATTTGAGCCATAATGCACATTACTAAGATGTTTACGGCCGACTATTAGTCGGTTAACCACATTTATTACAGACTTTAACTTAAACAAACGCAAAAGTAGGCTCAGAAAACGGGTGTAGTTGGTTGTACACTTCTAGTCAATGAGTTTGGTTTCAGAAAGTCGCGAAACTGAATACGTCGCACTGCTTGAGAAAATATTTAGATAAAACAAATTTAAAAGCCGATCCACTCGTCCAGTTAAGCTCATTCTCTATACCAAATTGACAAGTAAAAAAAGTGTGACACCCAAACCCGACAATATGTATTTAAAATTACTGACTTGTACGAATCCAGATATGTTACGACTACTGAAACATATGTGCATCTTCGATTCATCAGGAAGAATAGAATTTTAATTCAATACTAACAATAACGAAACGGAAACGACTTAATTTTAGGGTATTACAAAATGACTGAACATTTGTAGTAGTGGATAATGGTGTGGCAAATACCCCCCCCACGATATGTTCGAATTGAACCACTTGTTGTTATCTAACCTCAGTGCTGTCTGAATTTGTCTTTCAAAGCAAGACCGTGACACGCAGGTTAATTTTAATGGCCAAAAAGCTGACTCATATTAGGTCGTATGAATGGTCGCTGCCAAAATATGCATCCTGAATATCCTCGTACATATCATCGACTAAAATAGCGTTAGTGAAGTTTGAATTTGTATATTTCGTACAATCGTTGATCAGAACAGACAATGGGAGACAAAGCTAAGAAAGCGAAGAGAAGAGGACAAAACATTACGACACACAGTCAAGAAGGTGAATGATCCGACTCAGTTTAACCAAGCGTGAATCGACATTCGTGGTCCAGCAAAAATAAGTCACAGACATGTGATGGATAGGTTAAGAAGTACACACATACGCTTACGTAAAGACAGTCATGGTTGATAAGAAAATAATTAACAAAGCCAATATTTGACTCAAGATCAATGAAATGATTAGCCTGTTCTGAATCTAGAATAAGTTACGTGGGCTTAACATAGTGAGGATGGTACAGGTATTCAGTGTTTGACAACGCTTCTACCAGTAACACCTTCTAATATACTTTGTTCCTACTGAGAGAAATCAAAAGACAGAGTCGAGGAGATCGGAAGAGTGTATTTGGCGATAACCAATATATCGGAATTCTCTGATCTAATCCGATTAGCGATTGCGGTAGATGTTGAGCACAGCGTTACCACACGTGATCTGGTGCGGATGCATGACCGAGCGCCTTCAGCTAGATGAGTCCACTAAAACACATGGTCAGCATCCAATGTCGAAAACTTACAGAGTTATTTAGTTTGTGGATTTATTTTCCGCTACAATAGTAACCGACACCGCATAATTTCCAGATATTTGGGACAAAATATTTAGTGTTGCTACAATAAGACTATTTCAGGTTCTACATAGAAAATATCGTAGCTAATCGAAAAGAACCCAATAATAGATATCGGTATTAATTATTTTATAAATTCACTATATACCTTCCCTACGGTTTCATCAACAACTGGAGATTCTGACATAAAAAATTGAAAATATCTTTAATAGTTGGGTGTCATACACCCCTATAACTACTACAGGACTTCATCTTTTAAATTCTATTGTCAAAGTAAAACGGAACGTCTTTAGATCCTACATCTCATTCATTGGACGTTGCTTCATCAGTGCGCGTAGTCTAAATATTGGCAAAATGATAGTTGACGTTTGTTTGGTGTCATTATTTCTTGCTGTAGTGAATGCTAGAAGTAGGTTTTTGATTTTTTGCATTAAAATATAGCTCAGATGAGTTGGTTTAGCATTTTATGAGTATTTGCTTGATGGCATGTAGTGAGGAAAGTGAAACAGTTATCAAACTTCAATTCAGATTTGTGTAGTAAGGACAGAAGGCCTACGGCCTATGTTATTCCTTTTCTAGTATGCTTCTGTAAGTGTCCAGTCTTCTCTTGAAAGTCAATTGAAGGTGCGGACACCACTTCTTCAGGCAGCAGGTTCCAAGTATTGATTACTCGGTGTGAAAACCTGTATGCCACTGGTATTTTGTTCGTTTTTGGCTTTTCTACTCGCCTGCTATGTCCTCTGGGGTGTCCTGATCTAGTGGGAAGGAAGAGAGAGAATAAGTTAGGTCCGAAATCATTTCTCAGTATTCTGTACATCAAAATTAGATCTCACCTTAGTCTGCGATAGGACAGAGTAAAGAGGTCCAGTTTTTCAAGCCGCTCTTTGTATGGTAAACCCCGGAGTCCCGAAATTGCACGGGTAGCTGCCCTCTGTACCTTTTAAGCAGGGGCTTGCAGCATGAATGCAGTTCTCTAGCTTAGTTCTCACTAAGGATGTGTATACTGTGGTGAACATTGTAGTATCTAACTTAGTGAATGTCCTTTTTAAACCTCAGGGGGTTCGAAACCACTTGGCTGCGACCTCCCGGCAATGGGCCGTCGTCTTAAGATCACCCCTGGACTCTTATGAGACCGGACTACTGGTAATGACACATCCCCTATGTTGTACGTATTAACGCTTGAATTTCCCAAGTGCATGTACACACACTTTTCCGAGTCGATAGGCATCAACCACTCTTTAGACCAGTTTATCATATTATTTAAGCCTGCCTGGAGAGTAAATGCGTCTTTGTCTCCAGTTACTACTCGCCAAATCTTTACATCGTCAGCGTATAATAACATTGGAGACTACTATACTTGTAAGATCGATAACGTACATTATAAAAAGTAAAGGACCTAGTACGGAACCTTGAGGTACTCCACTAAATACTGGTCTCCAGATGGAGCACTTGGAATTTATTATTACTTTTTGTCTACGACCTACTAGGAAATCTTTAATCCATTTTAAAAGAGGTCCGGCAATACCAAGGTTCGCCAACTTCAATAGCAGTCTATTAGTTGGCACCTTGTCAAAAGCCTTACTGAAATCTATGTAGAAAACATCCACTGAGTTTCCGTTGTCTAGCGCATTAATCCAGAACTCCCTAGCTATAAGGAGGTTCGTTGTACAGGATAGACCCTTTCGAAAACCATGTTGTGCCATGTTCAGCAAGCTATTGGTTTCCATAAATGCCGTTATGGTCCGTTTGATTATTCTTTACAGTATTTTAATTACAACACTGGTGAGACTTACGGGTCTGTAATTCGATGGAACTTGTCGTGGACCTGTTTTATGTATGGGAGTGACGATTGCGTCCTTCCAGTCCATATGTAACACACCTTGGTCAAGTGATATTGAATATCACAGTCAGTGGGGCCGCGATATATCGTCGTGATTGTTCTCGTCATTGTTTGGTTGTTTATTCGTCCTATGAAATATCGGTGTCACTGCCATAAAAGTTTTGTGTGCACCGTTTTTCTAGCGAATGAAATTGCAAGATGAGCTTTTGTTTAAGATTAATAGATAAAATTATATCGATAAATATATGAAAGATTGTTTTTCGTTTCAAAATGCCATACTAGTGATTCAGAGTACGCCTTGATAGATTGGAACATGATTAGAGTAGTTAATTCCCTAAACAGACACGCATTTGTAATTCACGATATACCGTTTTTCATCAAGAGCTAATGCATTTGTTTATGAAAATGATATTTCTAGTCGAAGATCAATCCAACTCCTTACCTGATGATTATTTTTTAAGTTCACTACTCAGTGCTGATATTTCATGTATCTGTCCTGGTCGCTGATCCCCAGTATGTATTAGGTACTTCTGAAATAAAGGACACCTGCGGTGCAAACAGTTTCGATGGTTTATTGTCATAAAATGAACACAGAGTCAACCCATCACCATGTTTTAGGAGGCATTGTTCCCTTGGTATCCTCATTTTTTACTCATCTCTTACTCTGTGTGGGTGACTTTGCCCTAACGTTTCATTGTATGGTATTAGAAAATGATTAAACTTCAGCAAAATTCATGGATGATGATCAGTTAATTGACCAACCGTCTGTTTGTAATGTTAACTAAGTATGACCGGTATAAACGCCACATTCAAATGTTTATAAGTCGTTTGGCTCTATCTTAGTTTTCGTCAATAGCCTTTTTCCAAAACTCTGACATTTCTAGGAAGTTAACGGAATTATAATTAGATGAAAGCCATAGTGTGGCGACGCAGATACATTCATCAAGTTCTGGGTCGTTCATAACTGACTTATCGATGTACAAGTTATCAGTTTCCCACCTTTAAAGTAAGACTAACCACAGTATTCCCGTCTCCTCAGAGTTGAGCCGGATACGGACATCGAATGGCTCTCCAAGTGGTCTGTTAATATTAACTACATATCACATCAAAACTATTCGCTATTCTATACACCTACACCATTTACTAACTGTCCGCTTTCAACAGTTTTTGATACCAATAAACGATGGTCCATCAAAATAATGATACTGAAATGTAAATTCGAGTGCCTCCAAATCTATCTTCTAACTGCTGTTTTATATGACCAGTTTCTTATGCCTGTTTATTCACCACGATCTGGCATGTTGTTCTACTAACCCCCATCTACACTGCGTAAAGGTGTTAGTGTTTTTGTCCATTTATCCTAACCTTAGTAAGTGAATGGGGGTGTTCAGGTTTGCAGTTCTATATTTAAGAGTTCAAGTGTTTTAGTCTGTCTGCTCCAAACATGTATGTCATACTTAATACTATTTTAATTTTCATGTATACCATCTTGAGTTCTTTGTCGATTTGATTTCCATATATCTACCTAGTTTAAGTCACAGATAATCGTTAAAATTCATGATTGTTCTACTACACAAAGCTGAGAGACGTCCGACTGGTGTACGGCTTTTCAGCTTATGAAATCACTTAGAAACACATTTATCAGTTACACAGTACCTACTTATCAATTATTTTTATTTTTTAATCTAGCGAACTGAAATAGGTCTCACATAGATATGGTGTTGCAAAAACTTCAGACATCACAACAATGAGTAGTTATGCACTAGTATTTCATCACCATTTAAGCATTTTTCAAATGTCTAATATAAACAACATTTTAGTCTATAATATACTTCATTGTTCTTCATTTGTTCATTCTCCTTAAACTACTTTCAGCTGTTTGTATATTTCCAACAATTTCATTTTTCTTTTGCAAAATTTTGCTACAGTTGATTGTGGAAGCCGTGTGAAACTTGAAGTTGACTTTGAGAACATCCAGTCGCATGGAATATCTTATAAGAAAGCAACCGTCAGGAAAACCACCCCAGTAAATTTAGTTTTCAATGTGATTGCTGAGCGAAAGCCGATAGAAGTTTGAAATCTGAATATATGTATAACTTAGTATTGATAATATAGATCGAATCAATTGATTGGACGTACAATAATGTATCAATCAATATTGGTGACAATGATAATCAAGATATATATTATTCAACTGAGAAAGTTAGCTCAGGTTTTACTATTACATTACATATCAAAGCGCCAAGTAATCATTTAAGACGACAAATACTTATAATCTTTAATACATATAGCCTCCCGTGTTGCTGGGACCTGGATTCTTACAGTAAATGCAAAGGATAATTCTAAACATGTTGGCTTTTGTTATATTTCGTGTAAGTTTTACGTTTTAGCTTTTATATTTCGTATTACTTCTGATAACTCATCTTAATCGTTTAGATGTTTTCCACAGCCAAGTTAATAAACTTGCTTGGTTGGAAACGTTGGACAATACGACCGATGATTAGTTAGTGTGGCGCAGATGCATTCAATCTTCGTCTTCCCTTAGGTCTTGAGTTTCAAAATTGTTTTATACCTTTTATTCCACCGATTCAGTTTTTTCTCCACTTGAATCATATTCCTTATATCAAATTATTTTTCTCTATCATTGGTACTTCTGCTACCGTTCATCTTGATAATTTCATCCCACTCTCCTGATGTCGTATATAAACCTTGACCGATGCGCATGTCTACCAGCTTCTATATTGTTTATAACTGACTAATAAATCATATGACGATTTTCTGGTTATTGTTGGAATAAATTAAATAGGCGTAAAACTCACTGGCTTATCACTAGTTTGTTGAGTGTTGACAAATCGAATCTAAAAAGCTTTCCTGACTTTATTTCGTCTTTCGTGAGGTTTTTGGAATCGTTTTCTGGCAGTATCTGAATATTTAATGCGCTTAACCATATCATTCGGTCACGTGTATACAAGACGTAGGATTTCAGTTGGTCATGATCAACATAGGGCCAAATATAAATATGTTTCAACTCAAGCTACAGTACGACGTTAACGCATCAAAATCAAATTTGTTGATAAGCTTGGTGTTTACATATCTTCAATCAAATTAACATAAAAGTTTCTCATGTACTAAGTTCTCAAAACCGGTTATGGTAATACATATCCACATAAACCAAATTTCGCATTGACGGCAATATAAATAAAAGACCTCTGGTATTAATTTTATGAATTTCCATCTTTTCAAGTAGTTTTTTGCTGGATTAAATTCTCTATTTTTGAGTAAAATCCACTCATGGTATATCCTGTATAGCTAATTATATTGTAGAGTAAATGTTTATGATCGAATTTTCTTTTCAAGGACCTCCAGGAGAACCCTTCCACGGTGTGTGCAACTGGGATGTAATAATCGCCCTCATACCTCTAACAACACTCAAAACTGTGTGATTATTGCCAGCCCTCAAAAGTTTTACTAGAGATTCTGCACTTTATCGATGTGTCTGATGACACCACACTCCATTTCCTATTCGTTTACTCATGCGTATATTTCATAGTATCTTAAATTCAACAAACATTTTAAACTTTTAAATCTCATTAATCTACTTTTCAAAACTGAATTGACCAGCATAGTCTGACCGCTTCACTTTTGAATATTAACGGCGGAAAGAAAGCAAGCTTTTGTAATGCATAATTCCACTTAGATTGCCATAATAATATTCCTTTTCACACTAGATATATTTCTCACTTTGATCACTCTTTAGCTCAACCTGTAATTCGCTCCAGATTTGGGGCTGTTCGTGGTCACGAAGGCAATCCATTATCTGTTCTCTGTGAAGTTGATGGCTTCCCAGAACCAAATCAAGTTGTTTGGAGACGTGTAATTGAAAATGAAGATGATGCGACTAAGAACAGGCTAGTTTCTGTTAGCAATGTGAGTTTTATTTATAAAGAGGATATAGACACCATTCTTATCACTTTCCAATACTTAGATTTTATTGAGGTAAAAAGTAAGCTAGTTTATACTCTTTTATCTTCAATTCTCTAAATTTGGCTTTATAATGTTAATCATTAACACATTTGTATTTAGTTGTGGAGTTACGAGGAATTAACTTGATTTAAAAGTGCTATGACTTCATACTACCAGAAACACAATTTTATTCTACTTTTACTGACTCACTGAGTTACTTTCTAATTCATTCATGTAGACATTACTATAATATTTAGAAAATGAACCTTCTCTTACTTTGTAATTGTGTACTCTTTTTGAAGAATGAATTTTCTCCATGAACAAGATAGTTTCAGTTTATGTTAGTGGTAGTGTAGTGAAGAAACAGTCAGGTGGGGAAGACCAGTTTATTGTTTAACACAAAATTACAGAATGTCTTCGTAAAACATGAAAACTATGCATTAAGAACTTCGTTTGCACATCTACCATTAGTTGTCTCTTACAAACCTTATGGCTCCTCCATTCCTATTGCTATTACATTTACTCTCTGTTTACATTCCTGTTCTCTTCAATTCGATCTTCTCAACCTTCTGCTGCCAGGCGTTCCACTTCTAATTGGTGTTACATACTACTTATGTCGACAGATAAGTAGCATACACCTCATTAATAATGTCTGTGACTCACTTGTTTCACGTAATTAAGTATCAATTGTTTAGTCATACAGAATCGAACTCCATTCCTGTCCGCCACACGTTTAGCAAAATATTTTTGGGTATTAATGGCTTTCACCAGTGATTGACAAAGTGTTCAGGGAGTGCACAAACCTCTGGGTACTTATTAAACTACACGATAAAATTCATCGATAAATTTGATGAAGTGACAAAATATGCTTAATAATAAAATATGATAAACATCCAAATCTTGTATTTCAATATTCACTCATTTATTTCATCGTTTTATTGTATTCCTCCTTTTTGAATTATATCATGTATTCATTTATATTGGTTCGAATCTTCCCATTAATGTTTAGGACTGCTAATAATCAGTCTCTTTCGGCGTATGTGCATGCTGTGTGGGTTGTTTCGGTATTCTTTTAAGTCACAAGCATTATAAGCAGAGATGGATGGTGGCTAGGAAGGGGAATACAAGAGGGGCGTTTCGTTCTATTTGGGACTCGTCAACAATTCTGAACATCTATATCTTGAAACTCTATATCATTATTAGCGTTCGACTAATATTTACAATCAGCGTAGTGTTGCGGAGATTTTTGAGTTATTATTGAAGTCATGAACCGATCGATGTTAGATCACCATCGAAAATATGGAAACATTGGATAGCCGTTGAAAAATATGTATATTTGTTCTCAATTTCTCATTTTATTATTTTTATACTTTTGTTAATTTAAAGAAAAGTTTTTCCATTTGGTGAAGAAGTCAGATGAGAATCATAATGAATAAAAATCTGTAGAATGTTTAGAGTTTTGTTGTCGTTCAATGCAAACTATCTTTGTTGTTATCATTGTGGTTTGTAATGTTTAGTAATTTTTATACTTTGTTGGAATGTTATTTTATTCTCCAGGCTATGTTCAAACCGCATGAGAGCACTAAAGATGCTATTATGGAATGGACTGATGCTTCAGATGCTACTGGATTTTATATGTGCACAGCAACATCAACATTAGGATCAGACAGTTTATTGCTGGAAGTTCGTATCAAAAGTAAGGATTGAATGATTTATATATTTTCAATATACAGATATTTAAGTGTTTATCATCATACCATTATTTTCACCATTATCAGTACGCTCAGTCAGTCAGTTAGCTACAACGTAGGACCAGGCACATATATGCATCGGTTCAAGTTTCCATACCTCTTTAGCACAGCAAGATGAACACCGGATTCATGGAAGTGGTTAATTCAGTGGTGGTATTATATAAAAGAAAGATTGCTATAAGGATATAGTACAGGAAGAAAGAATTAGTTAGTAGAAAGAAAGATATGAAGTGATTTTAATCTCTTAGTTTAAGGGAAGACAGTGAGTGTATACACTGACGCCATTGTGGTAGATTCTGAGCCATATCACCAAGAGTCTCCAACCATTGGTGACGATAGTCACGCGGACCCCAACCAAGTAGTCTGCATCTCCCAACATGGCTCAGACTAGAAGTTAGTGACTTCAAGCACTGATGCCATGTTTTGGTCTAGCCGCCCCTAACTTCCAACCATTCCCAACACTAGCCAGCACTGCAGTCGTGGTAATCGGTATTCAGGCATACGCAACACGTGGCCCAACCATCTCAGTCGATGAAGATTTATTATCATTCCCTAATACCGTGCGTCGAACCTCACTATTACTTACCTGGTGATCCCAGCAGATGCGAGCAATATTTCTAAGGCATCTGTGGTCAAATACTAGTAGCTTACGAGTATCTTCTACTCTTAATGGCCATGTTTCGATGCCGTAAATTAAAACAGAACGACTGCCGCGCAGTATACTCGTCCTTGGTAGACGGGTATCTCGCCTTCGCTATAGGTGACGTAAGTTGGCAAAAGCTAAACGAGATTTTCAAATCCGTGCTGAGATTTTGTCAGACACCAACCCATTAGGGCTGGTCAGAATTCCAAGACAAGTGAAGTTGTCAACGCGTTTGACTGCCTCACTTATCCTTAGTTCAGGTGTTGACGCAGACCAGTCCTGAAGCAACAACTTGCATTTAGAGGGAGAGAAGCGCATTCCAAACATTCTGACATTGTTGCTTAGTGCTACCAGAAGACTTTGCATTTTGTCAGTCTTCACCAAACAGGACTATGTCATCTGCGTATTCTAAGTCGATAAGTAGACCTCCTGAAAGGAGACCAATGCCCGAGAATTCAGTAGACGAGAAAGTTATTTCCATCAGTATGTCTATGATGAAGTTAAACAAAAATGGAGAAAGTGGACAGCCTTGACGGACACCACTTGAGGTTGCAAAATCAGGTAACAGTTTGCCATAAGCTCTGATTAGACTAGTATTCTTCGAGTACAGAGCCCTCACAAGATTCATGTACTTCTGGGGTACGTCTTTCAATGACAGACACTGCCAAAAACATCTCGTTCTACCGTGTCAAATGCTATTTTTAATTCAGGAAAAACTAACATTGCCGCACGCCGATAAGCATGTCTGTGTTCTAAAACCTGACGAATGATGAATATGTGGTCGATGCAGCCACGACCAGGTCTGAAGCCAGCTTGGGTCTCTCGTGTTTGCAGTTCACGAGTCTTAGTTAGGCGTCCGATAATTATTGATGCTAGTACTTTAGATGCTATGTTATTCAAACTAATCCCTCTGTGGTTATCACGTGATGATTTTGACCCTCTTACATATTGGGACGATGGGTGATTGTGGCCAGTCAGATGGAATTACGTGCAACTCCCAGATTATAGCCAAAATATTAGTCAACCTAATATCTAAAATTTGACCACTATACTTAAAAACTACTGGAGCTGATCGATTTCAACTAGCTGCTCTTCCTGGTTTCAGATTAGCTATAGCCTTTTGAACTTCAGCTGCAGTTGTGGGACCTACTTCAGTGTTCCATTCAGGCCGTTTGGGAATGGTGGGTAGTTGTAGAGTAGCTGAAGGCCAGCTGAACTGCTGCTTAAAATGTTCCGCCCATCGTTCTAAACGTCTGGACTGGGAGCAGATAAGTGTCGTCTTTTTATGAGATAGTCTCACTTACACTTGATCATGAGAGTAAAATGAATCATAGATATTTCAACGTGTCAAGACAGTTAAGTATAGTACCGGAGTTGATGAAATATCGATGGTTTTTATAAGTAGCTACAAGAAAAAAGTTTTTAGGTGAATCCATCTGTGTGTGTATATTCTTAGTCAACTCTTCGATTTCTGTGTATAATTAAGAACACACTAAACTACCGAAGGGAAATGTGACAAAGTGCGAGTACTTCTGCAAATTTCAATAACGAGGAATAGCAATTTATCCTTTAATCGAAGAATGTTCATACAATTGAACTAACGAAGTGAAATATTCTTCAATTTGAGGTTGTGGAGATTGTTTAAATTCATTGTATTCATGAACTAGCTTCGAGACTTCATTCTTGGATTTCTAATGAGAAGCCGTAACCAATGGAGTACAGCCGTGTCGGGTGTGAAGCAATTATTCACCGAAGACAATGAAAGATGATCACGCGACATCATGAATTAGTTGAAGTTAGATATTAACACCATTTGATACTGGTTCATTGGTCTAGAGTTTGAACGTTCACGCAAAACCGAATGTCGTGGTTTAGATTGACACGTGTAAGATGATGGATGCGCGTTGTTGAGTGGTTTGATATTCTGACGAAACGGTCATCCAGTGCATTCAGGTTTTCAATGTTGGTTTAACATTGATCGGTTCATGATTTCACTAAAATGAGTTATACATGTTTGTATTAAGCACCATTCAAAAAACTCTCCATTTGATACTTCCCTTCACAAAACAATGATAAATCGAGATATACTCAAAGACATAAATAGATAATTGTAACGATAGGATTTTCACTATAATCAAATATATTTCTCTTCTGACATAATATCACATATTTCTCAGAATTATAACAAACATGTTTCAATAAATAAAATTTTTTGAAATAAATTACCAATTTCTATACAGATTATACCTTAGTCAGTCAGTCAGTCAGTTAGTAACAACGTAGAACTTCGTACGTATGTATATCAGTTCAATTTGCCATACCACATTAGCACAGAGGTAGTAAAATTATAAGCAGTAATCCAAAAGATATTTTTCAAGGAGTATAATACAGTGAAATAAATTTGGAAAGAGAAATAAAGGGACATGAAGAATTCAGAAGATTAGAATTTGGGAGAACACAAAGAGTGGATGCACTTGCACCATTGCAAACGATTTTGAGCCATGTCATTCAAAGTCTCTAACCATCGTTTGCTATCATCTCGCGGTCCCCAACTAGGTCGTCTACACCTACCAATATGGCTCAGTCCACTTGCCAGTGACTTCATGGACTTGTGCCATGTTTTGTTCTGGCCGCCCCTAGTTTTCTTCCAAACTACTATACCATTGAGCATCGCACGTTGAGGCAGTCGGTCGTTGGGCATACGTAACACGTGTCCCAGCCATCTCAACTGATGAAGTTTCACCAGTTTCATCAATTGAGATGATTATACCTTAAATTGTCTAGGAAGCACTTGAAATAGAATTCTTTTTGAAATTTAAACAAAGTGTACACTTTTCAATATGAATAATCTTTCTGTTCATTTTAATTATACATAACTTGTCAAGGATATATTGTCAATTATATTTGTCCAATATTCACACTTTGCAAGATGTGATAAAGACTCTGGGTAACATGGCTCAGAATCGATCGCAATGGCTTAGGTGTATACACTGCTTGTCTTCTCTTAAACCGTGAGATTAAAATTACTTTATACCTATCTTTCTACGAACTAATTCTTTCTCCCTTTATTATATCCTTGTATGCAATCTTTATTTATACATATTTCTACCATTAAACTAACTGTTTCTATGAATTCGGTGTACATATTGTCGTGCTAATTAGGTATGGTAACTTAGACTAATGCATATATATGCCTGGTCCTACATTGTAGGTGGTTGACTGAATTCGGACTATTTATTCAGAACAAAACCAATGAATTGAATAGTAGTAATTGTAGTAGTAGTAGTAGTAGTCGTACCGTTTTATTCTCTGCTTCTACAATTATCATTTTAATTTTATTTTTTTCAAATTTCACAGGTAAATTGGCTCCTTTATGGCCATTCATTGGAATTATAGCTGAATTGGTGGTACTTGGTATTATAATATTGATTTATGAACGTACTCAAGCTAAACGTCGTCGTGAAGAAGAACGGACTACGTTGTTAAAACAAAATCCAACAAATGATCGATGTTAAACAAATCCGGTAATTATTGCATACATATATAGTTCAGTGATATGCTTTAATTAATACACAAGTTTATAACTGTTGTTCAACTTTAAAGCACAATTTTATTTGAAGGACACTGGTTCTTCTGTCAGCTGTTGCTTAATATTTCAAACGGAAATCGATGGAATCGAGTTTAAGACAATATTCTAATGATTAAAAGTACTCGTAAACACGGTCGCCGCCATAACTTTGGTTTAAAGCTATTATTTAGTCTATTTGTATATTAAGCCACATATGACATGATAGTGTATACTTGTGGACTAGAGTCTAGAGTACTTCCTAGAGTTCTTCAGATGATTAAAGTAACTCATTATGTCATCTAATGTAAATAAATGGAATTTGGCTTAAGTAAATGATTTCGTTAAAAAGAAAATTCTCCTGGACTTCTACTGAAAAGCCGTGACCAATGTAGTTTAACCATATTGTCTATGAGACAGTTCTCTATCTGCCAACGCGATTGAATTTTGGTTGAGCTTAAACGTGTAAACCTGTTAGATGCCAACTCAGTGTTCTAAATGTTAGACAATCTCCGCAAGACCTGATAGTTGTGGACTCAATCCACAATGTTATCTTTGATGTGTACTGTTAAGGTGTCTTATACTAATACTAACCAACTTCCCAATACTTCCTAACTAAAAACAATCCACGATGTTAAGGTATAAAATCCAATAGTCTCCTCATAAATCCGTTTAGCAATGATATATTATTAATTTGTTTATATTGATGACGACTAATTTCGTTATTTTTACACGCTTTTTTTGTTTCAGCTAATTCCTTGTGATTGAATCACATCTGCGTTTGTTCACCTCGTTCCCTGTCATGTGGTTTTCAGCGTCAGTAATAGTCTCATTTCAGTACTGTTTTCTTTTAAAAACAACATTTATTTGTGTGTTTGCTTGCTTTTTATTTTTCTTCCTTATCAAGTGGCATATGTTTGTACGTGTATGTGTGTGTATGCAAGTATGCACGTGCTCATGTTTGTATCTATGCCATTATTGGCATTGATACTTAGGTATTCTCATATTCAGATTGGCAAGAGTATTAGCTCATTTGTACGCCGACTGCTGTTATTATTATTATTATTATTATTAACATGATAAAGGACATGGATATTTGCTTTTATTTTCACATGTCACTTAATTTCTTATTCTGATTGACACTTCAAAAAAAGAAAAGAAGACCTTATAGTTTTACTCTATGCGTACTGTTTATCCTTATTATGATTAAAATTATTATCGTCGTTTTCTTTTTTGTGCTGTATTACTTATTTCTGTGTTTCCAGCAAAACCTCTTCACCAACTAATTTATCTGATATATTTACTTGCCTATAACAAAAATGGGAAGATTGTTTGTTTGTTCGTTTGTGTGTGTGTGTGTGTTGAATACAGATGAATATTTGAATCCTACACATATACATCTTCTCTATACCGTGTAGTGTAATGAAGATATACAACTTATGTAATCATTGTTCGTTTTTTTCTTTAATTATTTAGTTATATCATTATTTTACCCTTAAATGTATAATTTTAATTTGTATCTGATTTGTTCATTATATTTATTCATTGTGACTGGATTGTTTGTTTGTTTGTTTTTCTGTACTCCTTTAGAACAGCTTTATCTTACAATATAAAGATAAATAAATTATATATTTAGTTAATGTTTCTTTTTCTATATATATATTTATTTGTTTGTATATCGTTTGTTGTTGAGTGCTTCTTTGAAATAGATATTTCTCAATATTTATTGGGAAATGCATTTTTGTAGCTGTTACTTTAATTTCCATGGTCAGGTTTGATTGTTATGATGATCTAATCGGGGTTATGTTAGCAGATACATTTGTTTTTATATATTCTACCATGTTAAACAGCTAGGTTGGAAAGCGGTAAGATTCATGGTTCGAGGGAGAAGTTGTACTGTCAATCTTGTGGGGGGGGTCACAGTAGTACAGTGTTTCTTTGGAGACTTTACCTTACCATGATGGAAGGTGGAGGAGGTAGAAAAGGTCGGCTCTAAACACAGCATACTTTACTCCTCGGATTTCTATCACTGATGGTTAGATCGTGTGTAACTAACCTCAAGCAGTTGTTGTATGGACTCTAAGGTCACACTCTCAGGCCCAAAAGATCATTGCTAATTCAGTTTCTTTTACTATTATTATTATTATGGCTTTATTCAATATTATATTTTTGGTACAATATATAATCCTTAGCACAAAGCGTTTCAAAAGGTTTCATTTTCTTATTTCTTGATCAGTCATGACGATAAAAATTGAGTGGTCGCAGTTCAAGAATCGACATTTGAATAATGCTTATTTTTTCCATGTATATTTCCTGCCAGCCACCACGATATCTCTGATTGTACTTCTTTGTAAGTCGGATAGTGAAAGGTCGTAAACTTTTCATAAACACACCTTAATAACTTGTGCGATTGATAAACATAATGATGTGTTCAAACAAGCAAAAACCGATAAGTTGTTGAAATATCTAGATAATAGCAACAGGTAGCCCAGATATTCTAACAGGCCGACAAAACTGGGAGATAGCCCCCAAGAAGAGGTATATTTTTACTGTATCGGCACCAGAGGAGTGACAACTACACAAACACATCTCTCACCATTCAAAAGCACTGTGTTTATAATTGGATTCCTTCACTTTGTAATTTTCTGTTCTTACTACTATCCATATTACTCCCAGTCAATCATAATAAACGTATACCTTTAAGGGGACAAAATAAAATTAACACGATGATTGGAAAAGTATCGAAGTAATATAGCGAAAAAAATTAACAAGGAACACTAAACATTAACAATATGGTTTGAGAATGAGGAAAGAAAAAGTATCTATGAATGAAGATTGGAACTTCAAATCTAGAAGAAGACAATGAGTGAATATGTCTGCGTTATTATGAACTGTTCTAAGCCATTGTTATATACTTTATACTTTACAGGTTCATTATAAAAAGTTGACCGTAAATCAAGTTCTCTTGAGTATTGCTTAGTTGTGCTATATTTTGCAGTTGTTTTATTCTTCAACACATTTTGAAACTAAAGTCAAAGTGAAGAATGAAAATTTACTATCAGAATGACATAAATAATCAGAGAGGAATATACAGTTGTGTTTCCAATACACTATATTGATTTATAGTCATTCATTTTAGTTGGATAGTTGACCCTTTCACATTATTTTAACTACAATAATAAAAGTCTTTATATACAGGGAAGAATAGTCTATAAATTTGAGAATATAATCCTCGTTGATTAGTTTTAAAATGGCTAAAAGGTGAGACTATAATTTATGGACGACCTTTAAACGACGTCAGACTGACCTTGAGAGTGTCCACCTGAACTAAATGGAGGTTATAAACCAGTGTGGGGAATTAGAAATATGATTTACAGTTGATGATTAAGGTTAGAAACTAGATTTAGGGTTTTCATCACGAATTGACATCAGCTACAATGTCAAAATACTATTTAGCCAAATGGGTGAGTGAATTTCGCGCCAAAATCCAAGACCTATTATCTTATACCTGATTGGTTCATCCATAAATTATAGTCTTGCCAATTCTCTCGTTGTGAAGTCTGAACCCATGCCAAAACAAGAGATGAGTTGTCACCATTGAGTTACTACTCACTTGTAATTGAATTAATGTTGTTAATCAAGTTGTTTCTGTATTCACCTATCTGAATTTTTGATGTATTAATTATATTAAGACTTTTATCAATCCAATATCTCTGTTCGGTATCTCATTTTAAATGCAATAGTTTTGTGAGCTGATAAACATTAAACCATCATAGATAAACACATATTCATTACTTACTTACGCCTGTTACTCCCAATGGAGCATAGGCCACCGACCAGCATTCTCCAACCCACTCTGTCCTGGGCCTTCTTTTCTAGTTCCATCCAATTCTTGTTCATTTTTCTCATGTCTATTTCCATTTCCCGGCGTAATGTGTTCTTTGGTCTTCCTTTCCTCCTTTGGCCCTGAGGATTCCATGTGAGGGCTTGTCTTGTGACGCAGTTGGATGCTTTTCTCAATGTCTGTCCTATCCACTTCCAGCGCTTCTTCCTGATTTCTTCCTCCGTTCGGATCCGGTTTGTTCTCTCCCACAGTACGTTGTTGTTAATAGTGTCCGGCCAACGGATCTGAAGTATTTTACGTAAACAACTGTTAATAAACACCTGTATGTTCTGAATGATGGCTTTCGTAGTTCTCCAGGTTTCTGCCCCATACAGTAGAACTCTCTTGCAATTGTATTGAAAATCCTGACCTTGGTGTTGACAGTTGCTTTGAGTTCCAGAAGTTCCTCAGTTGTAAATATCCTGATCTTGCTTTGCCGATCCGCGCCTTCACATCTGCATCAGATCCACCCTGTTCATCAATGATGCTGCCCAGATATGTAAAGGTTTTTACATCTTCCAAATCTTTTCTGTCAATTGTGATTGGATTGGTGCATGCTGTGTTGTATCGGAGAACCTTGCTCTTCCCTTTGTGTATATTGAGACCTACTGCTGCTGAGGCTGTTGCTACACTGTTCGTCTTCTCCTTCATTTGTTGTTGCGTTTGGGATAGAAGGGCCAGATCATCTGCGAAGTCTAGATCGTCCAATTGCATCCTAGATGTCCATTGTATCCCGTGTTTCCCTTCAGATGTTGACGTCTTCATGATCACCAGAAGAAAGAGAAAGTGTGAGAGTAAGCAACCTTGCCTGACACCGGTCTTTATTTCGAACGACTTTGTCAACTGTCCTCCATGCACAATTTTGCAGTGTAATCCATCATATGAATTCTGTATGATATTGACTCCGCCGGGAGTCCCTCCGGGGGCTACTGCCGGTCCCAAGCCCGGATAAAGGAGGAGGTTTGGGCATGGGGTTAGCGTCCCCATCCCGTAGAAAACTAGCTCGCTAAAAAAACGCTAACCAGAAAAAAAATTCAAACATTTTTAACTCTGCCCCGGGAGTCAGAAGGTCTTCATTTAGAAGAACTATGACGCCTCATGATGAAAGCCAACGTATTCATTAATATAAGTAATTTCACCAATGAAAACCTTCTTATTAGAATTTCTAAGATTTTATACATATAATTATCGTGTATATCCTATTTACTGTTGGTTAGAATAGTACACATTAAACTTTTATGCAACTAATATTAAGTCTTGAATGCTATTACTACTGTTTTCGGTGATACAGTGGTCTTGAGTGCTGTTAGAGGTATGAGGGTGGTTATCAATCCCAGGTCGCCCACACCGTGGAAGGGTTCCTCTGGAGGTACATGGAAAGGAGTTAGGGTTAAAGGTGGTCTTAATGACCTGAGAGCTTGGCCGCAGTGCCCAAGGAACAACTGCTTGATGTTGGTCACACGACATTTTTGTGAGTAATTTTCGTGTTAGCTCCGTACTTGTTGAGACCTTACCGCCGGAGACGGATATCCATGGGATAAGGTGAGGTGTGCATCGTTAGGGTCGACCTTTTCTAATCCCTTCCTTCCTTGTGGGAAGGCATCATCGCTGTCATGCTGATTGTCTAAAGGAAATATCTTACTGCCGTCACACCGCTGTTCAGTCAGCAGTACGACTTCGCCTTTGGACTTTGAGTCTCCCGCTTTTAGTCTTACCGCCCTTCAACTGACCTGTCTGGCATAATAGGACGTTGAGGAACGACTGTTCCAGCCAATATAGCTTGATTGGTTCACGATTGGCAAGCCTGACCACCACGTCAAGGTAGCAACAACAGTCGGGGTTTGGGGGGATAATTTGTGTTTAATCATTGTACCTTGGAGTTTAACATATGTATCATTGTTACCTTCATTTTATGTAAAAAAACGTCGCATAATTGGCAGTAGATGTTAGTACACACAGGTCATATACATTTATTGTGTCACAAGAATTAGAATAACCAGTTCACTCTTTTTATAAGCTAAATCAAAATGAATAGTAATTTGCATATATAAATGCATGATTCATAAGTTGGCATAGAAAATAATCATATTTTTAAAGAAAGAAACGAAGAGTACTGTTAATATGTAAATTTTGTTTCTTAGTTAAAGTTTATTATGCTAACTTTGATCTAATTGATTTTTATGTTGTTCAATTTCATGTGGCTTTATATTATCAGCTACTTATTATATGTGTATCGAGTTGTTGGTAGATGTTCATTGGTAATTTTATTATTTTGATGAAGTTTTGTTCTCTGAGCTGGATGATTTGGTCGTGGTGCTTTCATCGTTCTTCTGAACAACATCATCAGCACAAACGTGATGCTCCACGACCAAACCATCCATCTCATTTATTTAAGCAGGGTTTCGTCTAGTTTATATGGACCTGCTAGTTGCTTCATATGCGGTAACAACTGCGATGGTCTTTTGTCTCCTAATTCACATGATGTTAACAATTGCTGTAATCTTTTTTCGTCGGAGACTGATGTGCGTTGTATTACCGTGGCTTTAATTTTGTCATAAGGTTCGCTCTCCGGCACTTGGTCGATTAAATCCCCGACTTCGGCGGCGATTTCAATAGGGAGTGCACCAACTACGTAAGCATACTTCGTTGCCTGAGAGTATATACCTCTAGCTATGAATAAAGCCTCTATTTGTGCAAACCAGATCCTCGGATTATTAGCTCCGCGTGCTGGTAGTTTGAATTCAGAAATAGCGTTAACTGAACTTAAAAGATTGTCATCAGAATGTGATAGTGAGTTAAGGGCATTTACTGGAGGAGAGTCCATGTCAATAAGTTTGTTTGGAGAATACATTATTTGAAAAATAAACCGATATGTGAAGTAATAAAAAAGCAATATAGCGATTAGAATAAACTCGAGGCTTACCAGATAATTGTAGTGGACCAAACAATATATGAACTCAAAAATAGTAATAAAGTTGTTGCGTACAAGCAGTAATGTTATAATATATCAGTTATGAGTTATGAACACAATAAAAATTAGGGACGTTACGTAATTCAGCTGTCATGCCTATCTTCACAACTTCTTGTAGGACAGATATTTACAACTGATCGATCACTGTGCAGTGATGATTGTCATACTTTATATTGGTAGACATAATATGATCAACTGTAAAGGTTTAGACAAATATGGTATTGAACACCACTCAGTAACTAGTCAATTATATTTAATAATAGTGTTATCGTTGACAATTATTTATACGCACATATAACAAAGAAGGGAGACTTACTTCACAGATGTATCCTACTGTATTCGGAGTAAAGCTACAGTAGGATGGCTGTTACCTTTACTTTTGATTAACTCTAAATTTTAGTCCCTTTAATATTCAATTCAACGGATACAACTTACAATGCAACTGTATGTATAAAATGACCACATCTCTGTTTATCCTGTCCAGCTTGACGAAAATCACGACAGCATCAAGAATGTCTTAGATTGACTTAATCAACTTTAGCTTTAATTATACGTAGTTTGATATGTAGTTCGGTATGATACCATTGTTACACATACCCAAAGTTCCCTACCACTTCTGTCAATATATCACAGTAGATAAACAGAGATAGGGACTTCTGCTACGATGGAAGTCTTTAACATTTTGACTGGGAATGGTGTTATAACTTTTGGTCTGAGTGCCCTGTTAATGTATGACGTAACGATCCCACCAATTAGGGAGCAGTGAATTATCGATCGAATTAGTTACGCGTGAAACCCGTATGTGCAATCTAGAGTGCTTATCGGTCCTGATTTCTGCTTAGTCCAACCAGTTAAGTCCAGAACACCAATCCGAGCCTCTGAGATATGAATAATGTATTTCAAACGTACTCGGTTTATATACAAAACAAGCATACCACATCGTACCAATAAAATATGAAACAACATTTGTACAAGAATTAGCCAGATGTGGCTGTGAATGTGGGAGGTAGTAATTAATATAATGGGTAGAACTGAAAAATTGTAAAACGTATAATAATAGTTTATGGATCAAAATAAAGCTTATAATAAGAGGAATATGCATAGTTTAGTTACTTAATAATTATACGATAGAAATATACGTTTAGTATTAGTCCATAAATGAATCCATAAAGTTATCATTCATTATTCTTGTCGGGACGTAAAAAATGCACAAGTAATTTCGTTATTTTTGGACAGAATCTTGTAATTCACTTGAACAGCAAGTAAAACACTTTTTGTGATGCAGTTCTCTACTCTACCTACGGTCCCGCACTCAGGAATCGAACTCAGAACCTTTGTTTCTACGCGAACGCTTAACCACTAGACCACTATCCCGGTATCCAACTTTGTTAGCGGCTGATGTCAATTCATTCACTATGTTCATGATTTAAATGAAATCTAACAATATCCACAACCGGAAACTGAAAATTATCATGTGCTTATTAGTGAATAGCTTCGAGAGGTCATTCTTGGAATTCTAATGAAAGTGGAGTTCAACTGTGCCGGGTGTGAAGCAGTTATTCACCGAAGACAATGGAAGGTGATCGCGCGACATCGTCGATTGGTTTAGGTTAGACATTAACACCATTGGATACTGGTTCATCGATCTAGAGTTTGAGCGTTCACGCAAGACCAAATGTTGTGGTTTGGATTGACACGTGTAAGATGGTGGATGCGCGTTGTTGAGTGGTTTGATATTCTGACGAAACGATCGTCCAGTGCATTCAGGTTTTCAATGTTGGTTTAACATGGGTCGTTTCACAATTTCAATTTAACTTTACTTTCTACAAGTAATTCACTCTTATGAAACTATGTTTACGTTTAAACACTTTAAGCATAAGACATGCCAATTGTTCTCCTTATATATATGCAAAGAAACATAAATAAAATGAACGATTTAATGTCTTAGTATCTTCAAAAATTCTAAAAGCCTACTACTATCGCAATCTTACTTTCCAAAATCAGGTTACTTTCAGGCACCTTCAGCAAATCTAGTCATTAATATAACAACTTTAGTCATGATTACTATCCAACAAATCAGTATCTCGATGTGTATGGACATGTTTAAGACTCACATAGAATTTATGTCATGCTTGATAACTTGGATTTATTATTGTTCTTACTCACAGATGGCATTGTAAACAAAAGAAAACCTTGTACAATAATGTTGCTACACTAATGTACAAGTCAACAGACAGTGTAAATAATAAAAGTACTCAAATTTAAGCCATACTCATTTTTGTGTAATGGCTATTGATCCTGGGCCTGAAATCGATAAAGGTAGAGTGGTATTAAAATCTACCAATTAATTAATTTTCAACCATCTAATTGTTAAAATATCCAATTTTCAACCATTGGAATGCAGGTTTGAACCCTGTTCTATTTTTTGTTTTGGTTCCAGAGTAATATCATTAACTTATACGCAAACAAAAAGATAGCATATTGCATACATGGATGAAGTAATTAAAATAATCAGAGAGGATTATGTGGAGATTGTAGTAATTTAATCATTGAATTCATGAGTCAATTGAAGCTAGACCACCATGGAAGATCTAGAAACACTGGAAAGCAGTTTCTTCCTAATATGGGATTACTCAGCAGTGCTCATCCACGATCCCACCCCGCGAGATTCGAACTCAAGGCCTGTCAGTTATTTCCTGGAGTTCAAATGAGAAGGCGTGATTGGTGGAGTTCAACTGGGCCTGTTATGAGATAGTAAGTCGATTGATACAATGGTGGATTTTTGCGTAATTTCGTGGATTGGTTGAAGTTAGACATGAACACCGGTTGATGTCTGCTCAGAAGTTTAAATGTTAAGCGTTCGCGCGCGAGACTGATAGGTCCTTGGTTCGAATCTCGCTGGGCGGGGTGGTGGATGCGCACTGGTGAGGAGTCCCATACTAGGATAAAAGGCCGTCCAGTGCTTCCAGGTTTTCCATGGTTGTCTAGCTTCAAATTACTCTTGAATTCAGTGATTAAATTAATTAAAATAACTCTGTTATCCTATGTTTAGTGACTTGTAAGAGTGGTGCAATATATATATATTCTCTTATGATGTAAGTTTATAATTACCTTGGAACCGTGTAGTTCTATCTTTTTTTAACCTATTAATCGATAATATTTTGTTGTCAAACGTTTAAAAGATTAAAACACAAGTGTACTGACAGTTATTTCTTGTGCAACAATAAGATATAATTAATGATGTAATCGGTGGCGTTAATTGTTACATTTCACTTAGAAGTTTCATCAACATTTGTATTTTGGTAGCAGGTGGATTCCCTATACGGATACAAAAAGAAACTCACTCATCTTTTTGGTGGAGTTTCCTTCTTTGAGTTAAATGGTCCGATCATGAAGGCTTTATTATTCTTTTGAACAGTTCACAGAACGAAACTCCACCAAAAATCATCCATATGAACTAGAAATTATCTTCATCACTCATCTTCTATCTGCTCACGTTACTTTTGGTTCAGGAGAGTTACTAGTTTTGTCAATGAGCAATTTTACTGTGCAACAGTCTTCTTTATTTCACTGTATGGCAATGATATAATGCTTGTAAAATTTAATGAAAACATAAGTAGGGTACAAGTAATTGGTTATAAATTTTAGGAAACTTTACTTGTTTATTAAAGACTAAAACTAAGGTTAGGCTTACTGTTCAAGTGAAAAATGCTTAGTCGAATAGGCAGCGTAAAAATTCCCAACCGAAGCTGCTACCTTGACGCGGTGGTCGGGCTTGCCTATCGTGATGACCCAACCGAGCTATATTGGCTGGAACATATGTTCCTGTAGGTTCTACCATGCCAGGCAGGCCGATTGGAGAACGGTAAGACTAAAAGCAGCAACTCAAGGTCTGAGGGCGAAGTCGTAATGCTGACTGTGGAGGGATGTGACAGCAGTAAGTTGTTTCCGTCAGACAACCGGCATCTGCAGCGATGCTGCCGTCCCACAAGGAAGGGTGGGGTTAGAAAAGGTCAACCCTAAAAATGTCACACCTCACCTTACCTCACGGATTTCCGTCTCCGGCGGTAAGGCCCTTTGAAAACGGAGCTAACACATTAACAACCTTCCACGGAAAGGCCGTGCGCGACCGGCCTCAAGCAGTTGTTCCTTGGGCTCTGTGGTCACGCTCCCAGGTCGTTAAGACCAACACTAATCCAATTTCCTTTTCAGGTTCCTCAAGAAATACCCTTCCACGGTGTGGGCAGCCGGGAAGTGATATCAGCCCTCATACCCGTAACAATACACGAGACCAAGTTGGTCACATTCAAATCCTTTCTACACCTCCTAATACATCTCTTATTTCCATGACTGAGCCTAAAAATTATTATCGATTGAATGCCTAGTTACTGGTTAACACAACATACAATCCTCTCTTAAATGAGAATATTTTTTAACGGAAATTAGGGGTAGTCAAACTAAGAGATAGATTTAGCTCATGTGGAATTTCTTAGTGGGATCTACAAAACAATTATTGCCTATATTTAATGATATTCTATGATATGACCGGAAATCTTCACTTATTTTGTTTCGTTTTCCTGGATACTTGATATCATTTTCATACCTCTTTTCCTTATATTGTATATTATATCAATCTGTAATGTTGCAAGTTATTACAACATAGACTAGTTCCAAACACACAGTTCCCTTTATCATTTTGAAAAGAGCAAGAACAAAGATTCTAGCAGAATAACATGAATTCATTTTATTTCGTAGGCTCTCGTCAGCTGCTTACAACCTGTGGTATCTAAACTAGTTCACATTTGCCATGGGCACCATATTGCATTTAATTGTACCACTTTCAAATAAATCACTGTTGCATTGTGATGTGGTGAGAAATCTTAACTTGAACAATAGAACACTGAACACTTATAATCGATTAACTGATGTTATCTATATATCTCCTGCTCACCACATGAATTGTGAATAAATAGTAATCATTGTTACTAGTGTTTGATTACGACTTGATGTGTTTGTCAGTTAGTCAGTAACAACGTAGAACTTCGTACGTACGTATACCAGTTCAAGTTGCCATACCACATTAGCACACAGATGGAATTGTCAATTTAAATCTCATAGTGGTCGATAGCATTCGATCTGCACTAATAAGGACTGGACAAGCATGACATTGATCACCACCCAGTGATCAGTCAATTATGATTACATCTCAGTCCTATAGGAGGTTAGTCACGGCTCGGATAGCTCAGTGGTAACATCTTTGATTGTGAAGCTGGGTGACACGAGATCGAACCCACCAGGGAGCGTCAGTTCCCTCAAGATTACAGGTACACTTTGCTGACGAGTGCCAAGTAGCACGAAACCCGGGTCCAGGGTTTCCTGTCAACTACCTCCAACCACCATCTAGTGCTTGACGTGTTTGTGCATGTGTGTATGTGCGTGTATGTATTGACACGTCTCCTATCAAGGAATGGAACTTTTTTTATGTTTGATAACATTGAATGATATCATATCTAAAATGTTTATATTTTATCGTTTTGATTATAGTCAAATTGTTACATTATATTATCATGACAAAGAAGAAACTATCCGAAAAATACAAACAGAAACTATCAAAACATCCTATACCTAAACAAAATAATGCACAAGGAATAACTGTTGTTAGTGAATTTGTTCGTCAATTTGTTCGACGTCATGTTAATGAAAATCAACGTAATCAATCTGATTTATATTGGCGTCCAGGTTCTAATATTAGTCATAATATAAATCTATTACCACAATCAACAAAATTTCATCGATTAAAACATAAACAAACGTCTATCACAAATGATATCCCTATCAAAATCAATCATTCTAATGTAAAGAAAAAATCATTCAATAAATCAATAATCAATCAAAAACCATCGATTATATCAATGGATTTATCCAATCAATTACATAATTTATGGAATGGTTATTTTCAATCTGTTATGTCTATTCTTCTTACTAAATTAAATGATGCTAATTATAGTAATTTTAATTTAACAAAAAATTTAGATACAATATTACGTTTGAATTTAATTGGTGCTCAACTTAAAATTCTACGTTCAACATCATGTCGAGTAAGTAGAAGTATCAGAATGGGTTTTGTGGAGATTTTAGAAATTTCACTGGTTGAAATCATGAGTTAATTGAAGCTAGACCACCATGAAAAACCTGGAAGCACTGTTTAAAGACGACTGTTTCGTCCTAGTTTGGGACTCCTCAACAATGCTTCCAGGTTTTCCATGGTGGTCTAGCTTCAATTGACTCATGATTTCAATAAGTAGAATTAGTTGTAATTCATTTCTAATTTGTTGTTGTTGATTGTGTCATGATTTAATTTCTTATCATAGGCTGACATCAGTTAATGATCGATGAAGACTAGAAAGGTTTTTTTCTGATGAAGTTGTGTTCTTCGAGATGGATGATTTGGTTGTAGAGATTTCATTGTTCTTCTGAACAACAACATCATCATCACAAACTTCAGGTAGAAGTGAAGTGTACACAAACCAATCAGAGATACAACCATGACAAAAAAGTAAACAATGAGAGGTGCTAAAGGTCAGCAAGAACCAATCAATATCCAGGTGTACAGGACAAGCTGTGAATCATATGTGGAGAAATTTGAACACTACACTTCTACCTGAAGTTTGTGGTGATGATGTCGTTCAAAAGAAATGATGAAAGCTCCACAATCAAACTATCCAGGTTAGAGAACAAAGTTCTGCCAAAATCGTCCACCTGAGCAACAAATCTTCTCCACCATCTCAGAAAGATGGTTCATCAGTCATTTATTGAAAATGTATACCCAAGCAGAAATATGTTTTCATTCAAGCTGTAATATCCTACAATGGCTAAAGAGGGGGGTGGGCGGGGCGGTGTGTACTGTATTCTAACTGGTGAATAAGTTGCTAAGGATTGTCAATTTAAGATAGTTTTGCTTGTTTAAACAATTAAAAGTTTCAGGTGAAACTTGAATTTATAGACAACCTTTGAACAACTCTAAAAAGACCTTGAAAATGTCTATCTACATACTACGACTAAATAAGGGTTATAAAACAGTGTCAGTCAGTCAGTAACAACGTAGAACTTTGTACGTACGTACATCAGTTCGAGTTGCCACACCACATTAGCACAGAGATTCAGTGATTGAGGAATTAGGATTAATAGTTACAGTTGATAGTTAGGTTTAGGCATTAGATATTTGGGTTTTCATCATGAACTGACATCAGCTATAATGCTAAAATGAGTGTGTTACATCTTGAATGTTGATTTCTTGATATACCGCGTATAACAAAGCACTAGAACACCAAAACCCTTCCAAGTCGCAATAAGAAGACAGAACACTAATGAAAGGAATATTATTCCTAACAGTGTCAATTACAGTACAAAATTGTCTGGTATTTATAGTTTTTAGTAAGAACGAAATCATCATTACAGTTCTCCAGTCCGCATACAGGGTGCTAAAAGCATTGTCCAGTTGGGAAGTTACACGTAGGAATTCTAGAATCTTCTTCCGAAAGGTGATTGGATGGAATATCTTCGGCTCCTTCTGAGCCTCTTACAACTTCCTCGAGTTCACCCGTGATCCGTCGTCACAGAGTGAATGAATCTCTGGCCAAAATATAAAACCTGCTATCTTAAATCTGATTGGTTGGTCCATAAATTCTAGTCTTGCCAAATTTTCAATGAGTACTCTTTACCTTTTATATTTATTTTATTTATTTATTTCAACACATAGATATTGGTACAAAAGCACCAAATGCATATGCGCCACACAAATCTCATTTGATATGTGTGAGTGCTGTGATACTGCCCGGGTGCACAAACCGAAGCAGGTGGTTTTCTTAGGAGGCCACTCCCCGAGCCTTCGACCTGAGGGTCTGATCCACAAGGCAGTGGAGCATCGTAAGGAGATGCAGTCCCATGGTAGCCGGTGACCAACGATTGGTTCATACGACATTTGTTCCCGCAGGATACTGGAGCCCATGTGCACCATTGGTTTGGGATCCGGTTAAAGCGCCGGACCTTCGCTTTTCATACTCTCATTTTCGCAAACAATACCCGTAGTGCGAGAAGGCAGTGGGTAGGAATTCTCTGGCAGAGGCTATATACGCATGGCCATGTGAGAGCATTTCGAGAGAGAGAACAGACTCTCCCAATTCTCGACCGTACCAGGGCATTTGGGGGCACCTTTTATATAGTGATTATTTCATTATCATATTCATCGTTCAATTTCTTTTTTTATTTACATTTTAGGCTGGTATAGAAGGTATTGTAGTAATGGAAACAAAGAATACATTTTGTTTAGCAATAAATTCATTACATAATCAATTATCAAGTGAATCATTAGTAACTCTTACTACTGTTCCAAAATTAGGTTCATTATTTTCACTTACTTTACCTCATATTGTTGATAAATCAAATAATAATCATAATAAACATCAAAAAATTGAAATTTTACTTAATGGTGATCATTTAACACATCGATCAGTTGATCGAGCTATACGTAAATGGAGATATATACCAACAACAGCATATGAATATAATCAAAATGCATTAACAACTGAAGCTATTTTATCTAATGTACTCATTGATAATGTAATAAATAAATGATTATTTGAATTATTTTGAACTTATATACAGGTAATTTGTTGTAGTTGCTTTTCAGTTTGGAATTATTTTGTAAGTGATTCATGCACCACTTTGCACTGTAGTCCGTCTTATGAGTTTCGGATTATACCATCCGTTGACGATTGGTAAATCAGTAAATTTGGAATGATGGTTTGCATTGGTTACTCTGAAGAACAAGAGTTTGAATTTATAGAAAAGAATTGGACAAGTTATTTGTGGAGATTGACTGATCATGTAATAGTGACTAAGGTCATATTTTTCTAATGCTTAGTGCTGGTCGAATTCCATTAACGTTTAAGTTATTTTCTATTAGTTTGAGTCATATTGGTAGATGCATATTACTTGGTTGGGGTCCGCATGATAATCACGATTAGTAGTTGGTGGCTTTGGGTTACATTGGCTATGATCTATTCACTATTCATTTTGTTATTGATTTTGGGGTCAATGTGTTCACAACCCAATGCTTTCAGTTGAATCTTAAAGGTAAACCTATTTTTCAGGAGTGAAATGTAAAAGAATAACCTAATCAGAAGTCGGTAAACGACAAGTACATGTGATTGACTGAGAAACGGCTTTCATTTCAATGGATGAAACATAAATCACTAATAGACTTAATTTCATATATATATATATATATATATATGTTCTACGTAATACTTTCCAGTTGTTTACAATTGCCATTTATGTTTTTCATGTCTGCTTCCAATTCCCGACACAGTGTGTTCCTTGGACTTCCTCTCTTCAATTTCCCTTTAGGATTTTATGTTGGCGCTTGCTTCGTGATGTAGTTTGATAATCTCCGCAATATGTTCTATCTACTTCTCACGTGTTTTCCTAATTTCCTCATCAAATAGAAGTTGGTTTGTTCTCTGCCACAGTAGGGTGTGCTGATGGTATTCAGTCAACAGATATTGAATATCTTACGTAAAAAATTGTTTATAAATACTTGTACTATTTTGATGATGATTGTAGTAGCTCTCCAAGTTTCATCTCGGTACAATAGAACTATTTTGATGTTCGTATTGAAGATTCTGATAATATACACTTAAGTCGATGTGCATGTATGTCACGTCCTACGTAGATCATAACTGACTGTTTTTACTAGTTATCGACAATGAATAAAAACTAGAACGAAATCTAGGTCCATGATGTTTTGTCTACTACTTCTAACCATCTCAAAAAGCTATATGTGTTCTTATCTCTCTTGTTTTCTGCAGACATGATGTACAATTTTAATATGTAGTTGTAATAGCTATTTTATTAATTAATCAATTTAGAGTTTGACTGAGATTGTAGAATTTTCATAGTTCAATTCATGAATTGATCAGTTTGTGACTTAAATGTAGAAATATTTGGCAAACTTTTAAATGTATTTACCTTGAAATTGGCTATCTCTTTAGAATATTAATTTGAATCGAGTATTGTATAACTTAATGAGAAGAATATTCTTTATTCACTATATAACAAACAGGAATGTTTTCGAAAAAAACATTATTATGCGACTGAATAGAATGGTCTTGTGTATGTTTCATTGATTGTAAGCACTTGACAGAAAATCAACTATAGTTGCTAATTTCTTGAGATGGTAGTTGGGATTACCTATTGCGATGACTAAATCGAGCCATTTCAGTATGAATACTTTTGTCTATACATCTTACAATGTCAAGCAGGTCGATTGAAAAGCGCTATCATGTTGTTCAATATACGGAGATCTTCAGTTCTGCTTTGTTGTCACCCTCTAAGGACAATAAGACCACAAATTATCCAGTTTCCTTTTTAGATGTTACCATTAAGTCACAAGTATTTAATTGATGATAGATAGTGATTAACAGTGGAATCCAGAGCAAGTTTAAGGCTCGTCAGTTCGTTGTCCCTCTAATTTAATGTTGGTGTTTACTCTGATAATGGAATCCAGTCTCTTTTGAGGCAGTCCACCTAGGGCATACATGTTACATAAGAGATTGATCGGGATGTAAACAATAAAAAGAACGAAGAGATTCAAATAAATCATAAAATTCATCGCTGTTGCACCAATCATTGTATTTCTAAAATTAGTAACTCAATAGGTAAGGTATTGGGGGGTTTGAAACGAAAGTTTCTGGATTCTAATCCTAGTGTGAACATGAACTCTATGACATGGGTAAATTGAACTGATGAGCCCCATTTGGGATGAAATGTGCATCCTAATTTCCACTGTTGGATAATATTCACTTTAACTAAAAAATACTTATGGTTTTTGTGCCTGTATAAATAAATGTAGAAAAGAAAACTATATATTTTATACAAAAAAAACATGCACAATCTTCTAATTTGACCTAAAAAATGTATTGATTTTAATACGAACTTTACTGTTTTGTTATGTAATGTTACCAGGAAAGCATTGGTAGTTTTTCGGACTATGTACCTAAAGTGATTGGAGCTTTTTTGAATAAGGTTATATTGGATCAATTAACTAACAAGTTAATAATCTCGTCAATGATGAATTTGTAGTGACCTACTTTTATCAAGAGAACGCGATTGATTTAATGGAAACAATTATTATTATAACCAATTGTACCAGTGATTGTTTTACTGTACTAAAGACATTCTTACTTCCGTTGATTGTGACCCTGTACGAATTCGGTTATGCTCAGTAACCACACTTGTACTCCTTTGGCACGATCTCGGTATCCTTTCGATACCACGTGATCGCCAACAAATACATATCGACTATAGCCATCAACTGCCTTCTGATATTTGACTTACGGGGGATCTTATCGGTTAACTGGCACATAGTCTTCCTGTAGTGGTGATCATAGTCAACCGCGACTTGACGCCACGTTAGTTATGTTATGTAATCTAAAGACTATATAAGGTAGAAAATTTTTTATTTATCTTGATAATGTAATGGCATAAGTTGTTCAGTTCATCTATAAAGCTTTATAAAAGATTGTGTTCGATTATTTGAAGTTTTGACTTTTCTTTTTTTCTACAGTTCTTTTTTGATAGATGAACTATAATAAAATAACTAGATAGATTTAAATAACTATGTTTAATTCTAGATTAAAAATTGTTTTTCGTTGATAAAACAGCTTTGTTTAGTCCATAAGTCAGTGAAGCAACTTTAGAAGATACAGTCCCATGGTAGACGGTGACCAACAATAGATTCATATGTCATTTGTTTCCTTAGGATCCTGAAGCCTATGTGTACCAATGGTTTGGGATGAGGGTTTTCCAACTTTCCTAGATGGATCCTCCGTAACTACCAATCCGGTTAAAGCACCGGACATTCGCTTTTCGTCCTCTCAATTCCATAAACAACACCCGTAGTGCGAGAAAGAAGTGAGTAGGTCTTGCGTGGCTGTGGCTGTATATGCGTTTCCATGTGAGAGCATTTAGGGGCAATAAATTTATTAATATATATATTGTTACATGTACTGTAATATGCTTCTATAACTAATTAGCATTACACAGTTCATTTACTGAGAGAGTGTTATCTGTTCGGAAGTTTAATTGTTTTTTACACAAATTTGAGTGCATTTTAGGTAGTGTCTATGACCGAAATACATTACACATGTCGATAATCAATACTCAGCCTTGAGATTCCGTTCTTCTTAATTACTAACATAATTAGGCTGACCAAGATGATATAGACAAGGTGATTATATTACGTGCTAACATGACTTGTACCATATCATTAAGATCTTTATACTGTAGTGGTACATGACGAGGAGGTTGGCTATATGATTTTACATTTCCATTGTTGATCTGGTGAACCACAGCTTTCATGTGTCCGATAACTTTTGACTCCCAGACAAATACATCATAAAACCTTTTTAACGTTCTTTTCAACAATTTCACATGCTCCGAAGGGCAGTTCGCAAGTGAGCGCGACATGTCATATGTCTCCATTTGATCAGCCTTAATCGTTATTTTAAAACTAACAGTGTCTTTCCTATTGTAACCATCCAGTTTTCTAACTGAATTCCGAACAGTAAATATATTTTCTTTTAAAGTTTAGATATCCTTCACATTTTGTTAACAGGTCCTTCAGTACCATCGGTAGGTAACTAAATCATGCCCTATATAGTTAAACTCGACTGGTTACAGCTTCTCGATAGATTTTCGTGGAACTGCCTGTTAAAGTTAGTTGTCTGTGAGTAAATGATTATTAATATAATGGCTGCGTGAAGACTTTTAAATTTTATAGTTTACATCACTAACTGACCAGGTGTGTAGTTAAGCGTTTGCGAATGAGACAGAAGGTCTTGGTTTCGAATACCGCCTACGGGATCGTGGATGCTCACTGCTGAGCAGTCCCATATTAGGACGAAACGGCCGTTCAGTGTTTCCTGGTTTTCAGTGGTTGTCTAACATCAATCGACTTATAAATCCAACTATTAAATAATTAATTATTAAGACACTTTTATATGAAAACTATAAGGTAAACCGGACAGATTAAACGTAAGCCGTAAGAAAGAACAATAAAGTACACAAAACCAATGTGATAATCACTGTGAATAATAAATCATTATTATCACGGTAGGCTAAGAGTAAAAACAAATTGTTTTTGAACACATACAGGAGGTTCGTAGTTTCCGTATAGCCAAGGCTTCAATAAACCGTGGTATATACCCTAGAAGGTTTTGGTACAACACTACAAATGCTGACTTGATATCAACCTTATGAACAATCTCAACCAAATGTTTCTCCATGGTCGAAGATATCTGTCTATCTTGTGATCATATTTGACCGTTGGAACTTCTTTGTTTCTGTAACTATTTAGGTATGTGCTCCGCTACCTTAATTTGCAAATCACGATTACTCCTCCCTATGTACATGTTTCCGTAAATATAAATAAATTAATAAGCACAGTGGTCTCATCAACAATAACAAGTGAATTAATTGTTGGGCGAGACTATAATTTATGGACGACCTTTGAACGAACCTTAAATGACCTTGGGAAATACTAGTCAATCAAAAAACAGCAAGTATAGAGTAAAAATATATTATACAAAACCAAAGAATTAAAGTGCACGCACTTCGCTAACATGGTTTAAAAACTTTTCAAGGTTGAAAAGAGGTTTAGAGGTTCTGAAATTGTAGTACATACGATATAGGGAATCATCCATATGACTCCATAATAGTCGGCCTCTAGAGCCATGATGAAGTCCCGAAAACTATTCCAGTCTCGACCACATGGCTTCAATATTGTTTATGTGCACTCCGGTTGTTGAATGCAAAAAATGCTACTTGTGGATAACGACACGATGCACATAACCAAGCCTATGTAGGCATCTGTACGTTCTCCAATCACGCGTATTACTAGTGCTTTTATTATCCAGTTCGGAACAATTATAGTAATTTGTTTTGATCTAAATCTAAATTGAGAGAAAAATGTTCCTCTTCTAACAGACTTCTTCCTCCAACATCTACTATATCGAAAGATTGCATCATCAAAGTAGTTTGAACAAGGTCCACAAGACATTTGATTACCATAATCACAAATAAATTAACTTTTTAGTAGCCTCATTTGTTGTAGTCGCTGAATTATTACATTTTCTCTATAATCTACTGTGAATCAATTGTACATGAGCATCAGGTCAGTCAGTAACAACGTAGAACTTCGTACGTACGTATATCAGTTCGAGTTGCCACACTACATTAGCACTGAGATGCAGTTGTCGATTCAAATCCCATAGTGGTAGAGGTGGTAAGGGTATAAGCAGTAATTGGAAAGATTAGGGTTTGGAGATGTTATTCAAAGAGTATAATCCAGTGAAATAAATTTGGATAGAGAAAAAAGAGACAAGGAGGAATCAGTAGATTAGAATTTGTGAGAACACAAAAAATGGATGCACCTGCGACATTGCAAACGACTTTGAGCCATGCCATTCAAGGTCTCTAACCATCGGTTGCTATCGTCTCGTGGATCTCAACTAGGTAGTCTACACCTACCAATATGGCTTGGTCCACTTGTCAGTGATTTCATGAATTTGTGCCATATTTTGTTCTGGTCGCCCATAGCTTTCTTCCAACCTACTCCTATACCACTGAGCATCGCACGTCGAGGCAGTCGGTTGTTGGGCACGTGTCTCAGCCATCTCAATTGATGTGAACATCATGTTTTGAAATTGACACAGTGTCTTTGAAATCCCTCAAATCCTTTTGATTAGTTCGTTCATTAATTTATACTCTTGTCAAATATTTGATTTATTTCTAAATCATCTTCATCTATTTAAATATTTTTAATCAATAATACACTTTCTTATATTGATGCATATTTAATTTTAAATCTAAACGATTGATCTATTAATCGATAAACTAAAATAATCAATAATTTGAACTGTTCATTCATTTGAATCCCACACAGATATATATATGTTCATGTTATGTATGTTGTTTAAATAACTCCTCTTGTAGTTCTTCTAAAGCTACTGTTGGTCCCTAGCCGAAGTAAAGAAGGAGGGTTGAGTATAGGTTCGGCAATTTCATCCCGTAGAAAATAACTTTGCTAAGAAAAAAGAAATGCTAACCAGTAAGTAATGTTGTTTAAATGTGTCTCTCTCTATATATATGGATGTTTGTATATGAATGTGTTAAGTAAGTTGAATGAACTCAAAAGAATTTCTCTTTTTTTTCAATCATTATAATGTAATATTAGTAACATGATAAGATAGAAACAACCTTCAATTTGAAATGATTGATTGATTGGTTGAATTCATACTTTTAATTAGAGGTAGTTATAGTTAGTTAGAAACTAATTGAACTGAAAATACATATATGGATCTCATTAGGGGGGTGAATTTATTTCAACGGCAATTCTGGCTAACTAATCAAGTTGTTTAATACTATAATGAGTTTATTTATTTGAATTAATTGAATATAATTTGAGTAATGAAATATTTCTTTATGTTATAACTTGTGGCCTTTTATTTTATTGACGTGTAACGTAATGATACCGCTTACTAGAGAACAGTGACTTATCAACCGTATCCATGACACGTACGAGCAGTCTAGAGTCCTTATCGATCCTGCTCTTCGCCTAGTCCTGTTTGTTGAGTCCAGGACACCAATCTTAGTCTCCGTTATATGAACCATTTATTTCAAACATACTGAATTTATATTACAAACCAAACTGACTACATCGTACCATAAAATGGAAAACAACATTTGCAGAAGATCTAATTAAATGTAGCTGTGATTGTGAGAGACTGTAATCACTAGACTGGGCATAACTCAAGAATGGTAATGTTGTAACGCGTGTGGGTGACTGCAGGTTATTGATACGCAGCGTTTATATCGATCGATCGGTTACAGTGACACAGAAATACGTACGAACGACCTAGTGTCCTGATTGGCCCTGCTTCCCTGTCTATCCCAGCCAGTTGAGTCCAGAACGAAAGTCACAGCCTCTGAGATATGAATCATTATATTTCAAACACACTCTGTTTATATACTAACCAAGCATACCACATCGTACCATAAAAATAGGAAACAACATTTACACAATATTAAACAACTGAAGCAAATATCG